CATGCTCCAGCCTTATCCTTGAAACCTCTGGGAAAGCATTCGCCCGCTAAACCCCCAAATTTCTTTAGTCTTTCGATCATCAGAGCCATCCAAGGTGACAGACGCAGGAATCGCCAAGCTGCAGGCGCTGAGGATTACCGACGTGTACGATCTGCGGTCGAGGCAGGAGATTGACAGGGACGCCCGGAATGGTCACGGCCGGCAACCAAAAGAATGGGACGGGGCAACGCGCATATTCGCTCCCGTCTTCCTTGATGATGACTACTCCCCCGAGGCAATTGCCCTGCGTTTCAAAAACTACGCGGATAAGACTTCTGAGGTAAGCATTGCTTTTCCCCAATACCCAATGGTTGTGAGATGGATGTCTTCCCATCTCACACCAGCATGTCTGTCGACGGGGAAAGGAATTGCTTTGGGGGCAGTTCCTAAGCCTCTAGATACCACCATGTGAAGTGGCTCAATGATATACGGGCCGATTCAATGGGGCAAATATTTCAGCTACGGCCTCTCAGTGAGACCAAATTTTTGCCCCCGTTTCTTCTATTCTGCACACTTCAGAAGCTGATGCTATTTGTGAATGGCCAGGGCTTTGTACAGGCATACCAAGACATCCTGAATGCCGTGTCCTCCCCTCAGAACCAGGCACAACCGTACAGGACTATCCGTAAGTATCTCCACAGAATCCTCTTCCAAGATCGCTCAACCTGGCCCATTTGGCAAGGATCAAATCTCGTGGGAATCTTTATTGGGATGAAACAGTCATGCAAATGCTCAGAAAGAAAAAGCTTCAGCCAAGGGGCCCTTCAAAATGCTATGATGTACCTGAGACGGACTACATGTTTGCTAAGCCTCCGCCCTGAATCCTATAGTGAAGCACCTGGCCGCCTCCCCGAACACGAGCAGTGACGGCAGCACGCCCGCGCCCATCCTCCTCCACTGCACCGCCGGCAAGGACCGCACCGGCGTCATATGTGCCCTCGTCCTGTCGCTTTGCGGCGTCGACGACAATGTGGTGGCCCACGAGTACAGTCTTACCGACCTCGGGCTCAAGTCCCGCCACCCTGAATTCCTGCGGCATCTGATGAAGGAGCCGGCGCTGGCTGGAAACCCCCTGGGGGCCAGGCGAATGATTGGATCAAGGTGAACTTTTTCCATCGGTTTCTTCATCCTCCTCCGTTCCCAACTTGTTGTACAGTGTGCTGACTGTGACATTGTTTGCGGTTCCAGAAAAGAGAACATGATTGAAACCCTAAAGAAGATCCGCGAGCTCTGGGGCTCTGTCGAAAAGTGTGTCGTTGATCTCAACATGCTCACCGAGGATGAGATTGAGCAGTTGCGCAAGAATTTCATCGTAGATGCTTCTAGCCAACAAGGCTTGCCCCTGGACTGGCAGAGACATGAAAACCTTGTTGCTGCTGCACAACACGAGTCCGACGCCGAGGCAGAGAAGATTGCCGCCGAGGCCCAGATATAGGTAGCGATCACATACAATGATTCACTTGAAGTAGAAACCAACACTAGATCTGGCACAAGATTTCGTTTGTTGCTGATAGATTAATCATTTGTCAAATATTGGTATATTCGTAATTGAGCGACCGCTATTGTCGTCAAGATTTCCTCTTCTTTTTTAAAAGGGCATGACATGGAACCATTCCTTCTCGAGCTGTCTCATCTGTCATGTCGCCGATATGGTATTTTTACAGTAGTAGCTCTGCTCCTGATACAGATGATATACAAATCCACGGAGTCACCCAGTTGGGTGAAACGGCGTCCAGGCAAACACCACCGTGGAGTTACCCGTAGTGCGGCATCATGTGTGACAGTCGCGCAATAATATAATAGTACAATAATAGGCATGTGCGAGAATCATCAAGGCACGCTAGTAGGGATCTTAACAGCACCCTTGACCCGGTCGTATGAGGGTCTGCCATATCTAGCACCAATGGCAGTGATCTTGCGACCGTCGTTGCCAACGTCTTCGGCGTTGATCTTCTTGAAGCGGAACTCGAAGCGCTTGGTGTTGACACGCTGCAGAGTTTGTTCCTCTTGCTGGGCCTTTTTGGCACGCGCTTCGGCGGCCTTGCGCTCCGCGTCCCGAGTGGACTCGATGAATTTGGCCCGAGCCTCTGCTGGGCTCATTTTCTGGAGCAGGTCACGCTCCATCTGGACCAACTCGGGGTGAGGGATACGCGCATCAGCAGAGAGCATGTTGCGGTGGAAAGCCTTGGCGGCATCCTCACGCGTGAACTGCCTCGACTCCGAAGTAGGCCAGTACAGCTGCTTCATTGTGTGGGGGTGAACGTGAAGCTCGTTGATGGGCTCCAAGGGCGTATTCCGCTCGTCTACCTTGTAGGACTTGAGAGGGAGCATATTTGCAATAGCTCTGGCGTAAGGGATCGCCATCTCCTTGCCCTGTTCGTTTTCATCTGTCAGCAGATTGTATCGAGTCAAAACAGACGGATAAAATAGTGAAAGATTTGTGGCATGATATCAGAGAGGCTCGCAACAAGTTTGTAACCATGTATGTGTCTTCAAGACTAATCGAATTTTTTTGAAGCACTCATCATTAAAGGGAAGGTTTCCGAGGTAAGGAGAGGCGCAAGCGAACAAGCAAACGTACCTTGGCTAACCAGTCTTTTTCAACCTCTTTTAACCTCACCACTGCAGCAACTCTGTTGATGTCAATGCCGAGCTCTGCAGAGACAGCCTTGACGGTCTCGCCTTTTTCGATAACTTTTGACCATATTAAGTCGCGAGCTCCATCGGTCAAGACTGGCCTGCTGGCAAAGTTTGGGTTCAGAGGAAACGGTGTGTTTTTGCCATTCAGGTAGTTGGTGCGACCATCAGGGCTGGGCTTTTTGAACTGCACGCCTTGCCGTGACAGCCAGTGCCAAAACTGTCTCCGGGCCTTGGAGTTGTATTCGCGACTCGCGGTGGTCGAGAAGGAGGCATTGATCTGGGTTTGTTGGGCTGGGGCCCTGCCGGCAGCCTTGATGCTAGCCTGCCATAATGATGAGGTGGAAGTTATTGACGATGGGATCGCCGAGCACGAGCACCTGGGTGGCATCGTGTGTGTGAAAGAAATGTGCGCGCGAAAACCGACTGAGCAGCTCACATTTAAAAAGCTTTCCTGCCCCCCTAGGTGGATGTTTGGTGTTGCAAGCTCTGCTGGAAGAAAATTGGCCGAAGGCCCGGAAGAGCGGATTAACCTCTGTGGGGCCGACTTCTTTTTTCTTGGTCGGGCACGGATTGAATATGGGTACCTGGGTACATTGCGACAGGTCACCACATGTGCAGTGACTAGCGTCGGGTGCGGCTCCCCCAAGTGCTGGTTGGATGCAAAACAGACGACTGGAGATCATGCTGGGCTCCAACTAAAGACGATCATTCGTTCTAGTGGGCAACTACCATACAGTGCATAGTGGTAGAGAGACGAGGTATGATTCAAATCACCTCTCATATGACTATTCCGGGACTCTTTATTTACAGGAAGCCATGCAAGCCATGTGCTCATGAGATCCAGCTCACGGCATATCTGTCCATCACGACTTGGAAGCCATGCGCGAGCATCGCATCTCGATGGACCCCCGGTACTATGTTGGACTACATTACTAGGAGCATCCGTCTTGCAACCCAATCTCCATATTCAAAAACTAACGGCTTAACCGACACCGAGAGACAGACCCAGATCTGCTTTCTATGGCGCTATATCTTGAGCTACCTTGAAAAAAACGTCGTAAGCTGCCTGAACGATTCACTATTTGGGGGGAAATTGGCCCGATGCGCGCCTCATATATTCAGCCTGTTTGACCGCCATGGGACGCCAACAGGTCAAGGGAGCAGGAGGAATGATTACATTCATTTGAACCACGGTGGCGAGCTGAGACAGAAAGCAGACAGAGAAAATGAGCAAATAGAGACTGCGTCCATAGTACAGCAGAGACAAGGTCCCATCCAGAAATCTCCGGCCGATTCCTCTTTTTCAAGGCAAGGATGGTGGATATAGGCGGTGCTGCCCCGACTCCGAGTGGAGACGCCGGCAAGAGACGCAATTCGTTGACTCTTCCCCCTTGGCTGCTTTCTACGCTCTCCCAACGCGTATCACGATCGCGATGGACTGCTAATCCTTGCTTTCGCCCGTGCTGCATATTTTCTGCCAGAGGCCCAGAGCAGCAAAGGTTGGGCCAGTAATTTAACCACTTCCGGAGCAAAAGACCAGGAGTAGCGTTGCTGCCAGCCTGCACATATGGAGTGCCAAAGAAACAAATGATTTCGTTGTACCTGCCAAACAGACTGACAGAGACCACTTATTGCTTGCTTGACTTCAACGTTGCCAGCGGAAAGAAAATACTACCCAAGCATCCCCGGCGCATAGCACATGTTGTTAGACAAAAACGCCAGAAAAAGAGGTCCTTTTTTTCCCACCCTCATCCCTCTGGCCTCTTCGTCTCGACGCCTCCCAAACCTACCGAGGCCTCGCATCAGTCTGCAATCCATCCGTCCCGTCCAAGCCGCGTCGCTGGTCCACACATGACGGCTGTATCACGGATGAGCTGTTAGGGCTGTTAGGCGTTGATCATTCCAACTCATGTTTACAGTGTCAGCTCTCTCCAGTGAACACTACTTTGCATGTCTACCATCACTGCTACTACTGCTGCTTCTGGCCAGGTCTGAAAGAGGTTCGACAAGTGAGCCTTTCTTTCTACCTGCCTGTGGCATCACCCAGCAGTCCGCTTAGATGTCAAAATTCGTGGAAGCTCATGTCTCGACTTTGCAATTTCCGTCCTCCCCAATGGGTGATCTCAAGGCCCGAATCAAGGCGAAGCTGCTGAGGCGCCAAAGTCATTCGCCCTCAGTGCAATCAAGCAAGAGCAGTTCCAAGTCCTGGAGACCGCGTTCCCAACGTACAAATAAAAATTCTGCCTCATCTGAACAAAATTCTCACGATGCCGACGACTACTATGAGGACTCCCCCCATTTAGGCAACGAGTCGCCAAGGTCGCCCTGGAGCGCACACTGGCACAGGAGCCGCCGCCGCCATTCCGGGGGGCACCAACCAGCATCCCCGGAACAAACGGCTGACACTGTGGATGCTCGCAGACCAGGAAAGAGCAGGCCATCGACAGTAGATTCTGCCACTTTGGATGTCGACGAAAAACTCGTGGCAGCTGCATTTCCACCAGCAAAAACAGCCAGCTCGTTTTCTTCGCCGGCGCCCGCAGAACAAAGAACAACGTCGGAGTCGAATGAGCCAGGCCCAATGGTGGTTTCTACTGCCGAGCTTGACGGCACTAATGATAACAGTCTTGCAGCAGTCGCAGTAGACCCAAGTGCAGCCGAGACACTAACTAGTTCCGAGGATGCCACCAACAAAACTGCCTGCAGCTCCTTGCCCAGCGGCGATCAACAAACCAATGATCTAACAAATGTAAATTCGTCGTCGTCGTCGCCGCCGGCACCAGCACCAGCAGCAATCAACACCACCAACACCACACATCCCATCATCCCCAGTATCGTCGAACAATCTGCAACTCCCACATTAGATGTATCTTTGTCGAGGGCTTTAGATTCCGACCACGACGGTTCGGTTGCATCTGCATCGCTTAGCGGTCCGTCCACTCTCCTCAACACCAGCTCAGCAGAGACGTTCCCAACCTCGACGACGTCAATATTATCAGCTCCTGCCCGAGATCTGCAGCACACTGCATTAGGCACTGAGATCGGCGAAGCTGTTAGCGGTGACTTTTCCGTGCCGACCACACCCAGCATCGCTTCCGCAGGTCTGCAACCATCTGCTGCCTCGAGTCGCCCCGACGTGTCGAGACAACAAAGCATCCTGCCGATTCGACAGCAGGCGCTCATCAAAACTCTGCTGGATACATCGCATGCTCATGAACCAGAAGAAGCAGATCAGCTACCTCCCATCAGTCCAAATATGGTTACCAGAAAGATATGGGTCAAGCGCCCAGGCGCGTCGGCTACCATGATCACCATCAACGAAGACGACCTGGTTGACGATGTCCGCGATATGATCTTGAGGAAATATGCCAATTCTCTAGGCCGCCAGTTCGATTCCCCTGATCTGACGATACGGGTCGTGCCCAAAGACGAAGGCGTCCGTCAACTTCAGCCGGACGAGCCGATGGGAAGGACCCTAGATGCATACTTTCCCGGGGGCCAAACAGTCAACGATGCTCTCTTGATTGATGTCCCACCCCGTCGAACCCCGAAAGCATCGCCAATCCCCAGGTACTATGGTGAAGACAATAGCCGGCCACACGAATCCGGAACAGATTATTTCCCACCATTCCCTCAAGCGCCTCATATCCACCACTCCAACCCGGCAGCAATGCCTCCAGCAACGATTCATTTTCCTCAATCGATGGCTATCGTAAGCAATGGCCAATTGCCACCTCTTCCTTCCCCTGGTGGTACCAGTCGGCGTTTAGGTAGTGCACGGCCAAAGATGCAAAGACTACATACAGCCTCCCCAGTCTCGACTGCCGGAAACAGTCATGTACAACACACACAGCATGCGCCGGTGCCTATCCCACCAAGCATCGGTACGCATGCATATTCTTCCAGACCGCAACGATCAAGGACTCATTCAGGTGCATCATCAGATCAAACAAACCACGCAGCTCATGCTCATGCTCATCCTCCCCCCACGGCTCCTCCACTGCCCACCCCGCCTGTACCGGAACGTGTAGCCACTCCGCCTCCCCGAGTGGCATCGCCCAGACCTGCAGCCCGGCCCAAGAAAAAGAGAACTGCTGAGACCCCGTCCCTACCGCCAGGAATGCTCAACGGCAGCGTCCCTCCGATCAACGTGTTAATCGTCGAAGACAACATCATCAACCTAAAACTCCTAGAGGCCTTTGTGAAGCGACTGAAGGTAAGGTGGCAGACGGCTATGAATGGCCGGGATGCTGTTACCAAATGGAGAACTGGTGGCTTTCACTTGGTATTGATGGATATTCAGCTTCCAATCATGAACGGCCTGGACGCAACGCGTGAGATCAGAAGGATTGAAAAGGTCAATTCCATAGGCGTATTCTCTTCATCTGCTAGCAAAGCACCAGAGGGCATTCAGGGTGAACCTGATGAGAAGGACAAGCTACCAAACACGGAGATGTTCAAGAGTCCAGTCATTATTGTGGCGTTGACAGCCAGTTCTCTTCAAAGCGACAGACACGAAGCTTTGGCGGCTGGCTGCAACGACTTCTTGACAAAGGTAAGTTCCAACCTCATGACTATTGTTTGCTGTGACTGACACATTGTAGCCCGTCAACTTTGTCTGGCTCGAGAGAAAAGTCATGGAATGGGGCTGTATGCAAGCACTGATTGATTTCGACGGCTGGAGAAAGTGGAAAGACTTCTCGCAGAAATCAGAGCAAGATGACCCGGCTAAGAAAGCAAAAGCTAAGAAGACGAGACAATCATTAACGGCGCCCACGGCGACTGCCGCAGCCTAATTAGAGGTGGACAAGCAGGACGAGTTGGCCTGGGCATTGTTGGTCTTTTTTGAATTTACACCTCAGCCTCGTGCGCCTCTTGGGTTGGAGTAACCGCCAAAAGAAACATACTGCTGCGAGCAGCTGATAAAAACAAACGAATCCGGATTCGCCCTTCCGAGATAAAAAGCAGGAAACGTCTGCAATTTACTATGTCATACGACTTGATGGACTACAAGCTCCAGCAGAGGCGTCGGGGGATCGATCAACACAAGTATTAGTATCTCAAGACTCCCTATTTGGGCATCTTTAGGCCTAGGAAGTAATTGGATCGTCAGCAACTGGAAGAGTTGATCTGATTGAAGGCGGGCCGGGTTGGGGATATTCAAAATGCCGATTAGCTGACAAGAATAATGATACCACATTTGCTTTTTATTCAGCCCTTGGTGTTTGTCTTTTTGTTCATGACTACGAGTCTCAGTTAATAATGGTCGTTCCTGTGAAACCCTGGCCATTCCCGTATGTGCATTGGATTCAGCATAATGGATCACTCTTCACTTTGAGCGAACGACATGACGATGTCTGTCACTTGGCATTCTTACTAAGAAATCGATACGGAAGATGCAATCGCCATCCTTGGTAGATCGAGTATGTGAGGTATTGGTGCTCTTGCTGCACATTGAAGTACAAGAAATCAGAGGATGGGTTGTGTAGTATAATCGTCAACTACATAATGGCTGGGAGGGCAGTAAGCTTTAGACGGAGCATTGAACTATCTCAAGATTTACCACGTTGACAGCACAAGATATCCACTTGGATGCATTGTTTCAGAGAGAACCATGTCATTCCCATTTATTGGCGGTTATTCTCTCACTCTGTGGGGATTGCTGAAGCATCATGGGCTAGCAAACAGCTGTCATCTGATGATGAGACGGGGAAAAGTCTGTTTGACGTGTAAATTGACAGCGAGGGATGAATGCAAACATGGACGTTGCGATAGTACGTACGCACGCACTGCACTCACTGGCCTCCTGACATGAGATGGAGGATCTTCAACATGTAGATCCGAGTCTAGGCCATCCATCACTATTGATTACATACGCAAACTTTGAGGTGCTAATCCATTGATTAAGGCCTTGTATCATCCGAATTCAGCAGCTGAGACTACACAAATCGCATCGTGATAGGCTGAGAGAACAGCGAAGCCCCTGCCTAAGCAAAGTCAGAAAAAAGCTTTCAGTGGCTCGCTCCAACTTATTGACCACTGGTTTCCAGTTGCGTGGGCCCAGTCTGTTGGCTCTCTAGCGCCTGCCAAGTCAGGGGTAGTGGAGGGTCGCGACTCTTGACAGGGGCATACTCATAGGCGGTTAGGAAAGCCTTTAGAACTCGTCATTGCGTCATAAGTGCCAACTGCCGCCCAGATCTTGGAAATGAAGCGCTAAACTCTATTCACCGGCTCATGGGACTCAATTTTCCCCATGACTTTTTTGTTTTTGGGCTCGCGCGCGTCCCAAGTCCTCCATTCCTTTGAGGGCCTCCCCCATAGCTGCAACGACTCTGATTCCTGTTGTTTCATTAACAAACAACAACAACACCACCATTCCAGGCCCTACAACATCGCGACCTATCACGATCAGGCGATAGATATCCTTGGCCAGTGCCATTGTATCGTCTAAGAGTCCCAGCAAAGTTTCATAGACTTCTTTGCCTCCAGGCTCTAATCAACATTTTCGACACTCCTTCACTGAATACGACCCACAGTCCGCCCAGCTTCGATTCACCATGGGGCTCTTTGGGATGGCGCTGAGCTATCTGCTCTTCTCGGTGCTGCACTTTTTCCAGTTTGTTATGGGACTGGTTGTCATTGGCCTCTATGGCAAGTACCTCGACAGAGCACGCAAAGCTCATGTCTACGCCGACGGAAAATGGGTATGTTTGATTTCGTTATCTGCCGCACCTATGGCTTTTTCATTTGGAGAGATGCTAATAAGCCTCGTTCATTTCAGGTCTACGCCGTTGTGGTCGGCGCCCTCTCCTCCCTGACCGCGCTGCTCTACTTGGTCCCATTCATTCTTCGCTTCGCCGTTGTTCCGGCCTGGAGCTTTATTATTTTCGTTCTGTGGTGTGCCGTCTTTGGCATCTTTGGCAAGATGTACATTCACGAAGATCCCGAGGGCAACGGCGACATTACTCTCATGAAGAACGCCGTCTGGGTCGATCTGGCCAACTTGATTCTATGGCTGCTTGGCACCATTGGCATGGCGGCCTACTGGTGGGCACACAAGGAGCGTCACAGTCGCTTCACTGGCCGTGCCAACCTCGGCCGCAACGCGTCCACTCGCTCGTCTGGCTGGAGGAAGTAGAGACGCTCCCAGTTCACCGAGCATTTTGACAACGATCACGAGATGCCCGAGATTCAAAACTAGAGCCTCTTTCGGCATTGGAACGGATCACGAAAACAATGAGAACCACAAGATGCTGAGTTTGAATTTTTTTTCAGATCGCTCTTGACAAAGTCAGGAGGGATGCAGTATTTGGCGACACACGAAAACATGATACCACGACTGTCTCCCATTTAGCGTTTTTTCTTTTTAAATTGTGTTTTTTTTTTGTTCTCATGAGCGGGAGATCGGTGCTGGTGTTTCTAGACATATACCCTTGAACCGATTGCAAGAAAAGAATTGAGTAACAGAGTGTTGACTTATTGGCCTATAATGTTGAATCCTAATAATATACGTCTTTTACAGTAGCAAGGAATTGTGCCCTCAGTCCAGATGAAGCGGGAAAACGAGTCATTATCAAAGGCCATTGTCGCTACGAATTTACCGCAGGGCAAGCCCCTATTTTCTGACCTCTGTAACGTTCTTACTTTCTCCTGCGTGTCTCGCCCTTAAAATGTTGAGTGGATTCAAATTTCAAAAGATCTAATAAGCTTCTGGAACGGTTGAGAATTAGCGGAAAGACTATTTCAAGTCGTCAAGACCTCGTTCTTAGCGGCATAAATCCCGCCCATGGGAGGGTTACGTTGGAAAGCTAGTCATCAAGCTGTCTCCACGAGGCCGTTGGGTTCTGGATTCTTCAGTCCATGGCGATGTAATTGACGCCTAGGACGTTCAATTTCTCTGGCCAAGGCTGAGGAGCTGGTAGAGACGTACTCCGAGTGGCCTAAAGAAAGGTGGCGTCTTTTGGAAGAGATGTCTTGGGGAGTGATGGAAAGGGTACACTGCCACCTGAGTTGGAAGTCAATTCTAGAGTTGCGTTTCTGACAGGAGTGGGAAAAGAAGTTCAGCCAACTCCTTGATGGTCCAGCTCATCATGTTACAAGTGGATACTGGTCGTAATAATGTAGTGGCATAGTGTAATTGGATCAGGATTATATAGTGCAGTTACCAAATTAATCTTGTTTCGCTTGTCGGTGTACGAAGGTCTCAGTGTTTATGAGATACTTGCGGCTCTGTAGGGTCTCTTGATTATAGCTTCGCTGTAGACAATCCTCATAACCAACAAACTGAGTCTGGAATAGAAGGATAATACCGGGATGGTTGGCTTATGGATGGATAGAGATAGAACAGAAAACCTCATTAATATTTCAACAGCATCTTTAACTCGGCTTGTTTACTGTTTGTAAAGATCAAGGTAGGTGGACGAAACTTTACCCGCGACTGGAAGCTCAATACAATCATCCTACTTTCGTTTAGACAATAACGAAAGACGAAAACAAGGGTTCAAGCTCCGTCGAGTCTGCTGGCACATGATCGTTGCCAACCACTCCTTCCGCCAGTGGATTGGTCTTTGCACCGTTTTGTTGCCCTGGTATAAAGCAGCGTCAAGACAAGAGGCATCGAGAGCTGCTGCGACAAAATCGCAGACTATGTCGACCGACGAGGATCATATCATCCCATGTAAAAGCAACAAAGATGATGAATGTAGCGGGAAACAAAACCCAGGCATGTCGAATCATCAAATCCTGTTCCCGAATTAGGCCCGAGGGCATATCTCTTGTCCGCGGAGATGATAGTCAATATACAACTCGATCAGAACTCAACTGGAGTATTATTGATATCTCGACCACCGACTCTGCAATCATTGACAACGCTGATCTTCATGTAGCCATGACAACATTCCGCAAGCATCTCTTGCAACATGATCCGTCTTTTCATTACAAATACGTACGCCCAAACGTGGAAGACTGACGTCAGTTTCTCTTTTTTGTGCCCTCTGCTTCCCCCCCTTCCCCGTCGTCATTTTCTTCTTCCTTGCCACAGACGACGACTCGTTGAAAAAAAAAAAAAAAAAGTCGCAAAACTATTCATAATCAACATGGAGATTGGGTAGCTATGGGGTTACAATGGTTGGGCGATCCCGTTACGGGAACGTTCCCGCGCGTCCAAGCTTTTTTTTTTCTCCTCCTTCGTAGATCACGGAACCACTTTGAATGGACCCAGAAAGCTTTTGTATTCACTCCTGCTTTTTGAGTATGTTTAATCAAGTATACTGTGGTGATGATTATGATTATCACATGTGGTTACATCGTCTCGGGCAACAATGGCAACATGCAGGCAGACTTGGGTTGAAAGTGATTACATGCTGAAGTCAACTTTGTCCATATGAGCCACTTCCCGTGCAATAGCCTCTTACGTTGCTGAGTGATGCCAGAGGACTACCGAATAGAGGGAATTATGCAAAGAAACCCTATCCGTGTATCATTGGTTTCTATACTTTGACAAGTAATATCATGGGGATACGAGATTGCCTACTCCTATGGCCATGAAGTCAAGGAGGGCTCTGGGTAGCCTAATCGAGTATCAAGTAGAATTAGATGGTGAAATTTTGAAGCAGTCGCCTCTGCTTGCTGTGTCTACACGTGCAGCATACTCCTGAATTACCGTCAAGATTGCCTTATTGCCAGAGTTTACAAAGTGACAAGAAAGAGACTGTATACCATTCAATTCTTATGCCGATAGAGTGTGAAACCACGCCGAGTGCTTTTTTCTGGTTCACTGGAGACAAAGTACCTAGCCTATAATGCCACTAAGGTACACTACGTACTGCCAACGGTGCCTAGAAAGTAAGTTTGCAAGGTTTCATGATACGATTGTCTTGGCCGCCTGCTTGCAACACAATTGCCCAGAAAAAACGAAGAAGAAAAGGTTCCCATTGCTGCAAGCTAGACTTCAAAAACTTGGAAGCAGGGGGTTTTCAACTAGTGTACATACACTAAACCAATTCACATCATGGTAATCTTGATATCCGCTTGGGGGACAGAGGGGATTTGAGGTGGGAAAAAAAAAAAAAAGCCCAACTTAACAGGGGACCTGTACATAGGTTGATAGGGCAAAGACGCGCTACCTTGGTTCTGCTACGTGACAGTGGTGACTATAGTAAAGTACCCTTACCGTCCGCCAACTTGGTACCAATCACCCGTTGGCTCCGTTCCATTGTTACTTTTCGCTCACCTTAGCGGCTGATCCGCGCCGTGAGCCAAGAAGACTAAACCGTCCAGGGTCCCCCCTTCACGGCTGCCAAACGACGTCATGGGCACCGGGTAAGAAGACGAGAGAGTGTGTGTGAGTGAGAGAGAAGGAGGGTGAGAAGAGCACCTTGGCGGAGAAAAAGAGCGCCTTGATTAGATTGGTCAGAATGATCTGAGAGTCTGAGACACATGCGATGGGACCCCTCGTTGTCCTGCCGCTAGCTGTTGATTGGGTTAGGTCCCCGAAAGACCTTCATGGTGAGTGCATGAAGTGTTTTTTCCCCCCTTCTTTCACTCACTCAAGGATGCGGAGGGAGAAGAGAAGGTGGGAGGAGGAGGAGGTCAGAAGGAGGAGAAGGACGACGACGACGCCAACTTGGACAAATGAAATGATGTGCGCTAGGCGCAGTAGGGAACATTGAGGAAGGAAAAGGTCAGTTACGACATGAAAGAGCACTGGAGCATCTTGCCACTTGAACAAGATGGATTCCTTATCAATTTGCCTTGCTTGACACATTCAAGGAAGATTTCCCTTCACACTAGAGTGTCGAGGACGGATCAAACGAGCTATGTATGAAGTACCTTAGTAGGTATGATATTCAGTCGAATCGGGCTGTGCGCATGAGAAAACCGATTAGGTTGGCTCTTGGATCGCCGTCGCAGCAAGCCAAGGTGTGGCTTGAGTGTTCCTTTTCGTAAAGGCGGAAAAAGCCAAGTGCTTGTCACCACCAAGAGGGTTTCCCTTTTCAAGCATCGATCAACCCACCGGATCGGCGACGCATATTCTGATACAGCCGTGCGTGATATACAGTGTGATTGTTGAAAACCTCAAGGCTTGAGTATATACCATGTATGGCATGGGCTTTTTTGGTCAGAGCTTGATGCAGAATGACGCCTTTCAACCCATGTGCTGCAGAAACATGTTGAATTCAGAGAACCTCAACTGCTATTCTTCCCGGGGGTGTAGGAATGGAGTGGCTACCCCGTTGTGTTGCCCACTGACAACAAAAGTAAACATCACGAGCACTGACTCGTGAAATCCCCGCATATTCGGTAGGAGCCATATGTACTGTCAGCTTGGCAGCAAGGGCGTGTTCCAGTTGATTTGACGGACAGAGGCCCCCCCCCCCCCCAAAAAAAAAAAGAAGTCAGGAGAGGGACTCATGGGAATCAGGAATGTGCTTTCAAAAGTGGGCAGCATCTTGTCAGACATCAAGATCGGCTACCCGCCTGACCACGAAGGGAACAAGGCCGGTTCAGTTTGCATCGATGCATTGCATTAGCCGCTGGCAAGATAACCGAAAGCAGGGCGCGTTGCGCAAGGTAGACAGACTTTTTGGCCTCCATGAAAAAGTGAGAGGGGCGAAAAAAGATTAAATGAAAATAAAAATAAGAAAGAAAAAAAGTGCAATGCCAAAATGCAACACAAAGAAACCCACAAGCCTCTTCGACTTGTGGATTAATATCCTGCAAAGAGCAAAAAGGAGATGGGATAAAAAGAAAAGTCAAGACGACGACAAGGGAAAAGACGGATATCTAGTCAGGGTCCAATATTTCAGCCATCAACCTTGAGCGATTCAACTAAATGGCAGGCTATTTTGCCAAGCTAGAGGCGTTGGCAAGGTTGGACCAGATGTTCCAACTCGCCCATGCCCATCCATGCTCGCACAATAATATGTTCATACTAAGAGTCACAAAAAATCAATGGTGCAGTGGACTGACAAACTGACGACGACCCTGAAGGCCCTCGACCCTTGTCAGATTTGCCATGTGCAGATCTCCTGCCCCTCCAACCAAAGACAATCACCACGTAGTTTTCTCGTCATATGCATGCAAGCCACCGGGGGATTATAGCGTACGCTTGGTACGGTCGTGTAAAGTAGTGTGGTGTGGTGCAGGTACGTATAATCAACACGCAAACATCAGTAACCCGCGACCCGCACCGAAAACTGCAGGTGTGACATGTCTCCCTGGATAGTGCAGGTCAAGGGTGGCTGAGTTATTGCTTGCACATTGTCAGGATTGAGTGTCAAGATGGATGGATGATTGAGCGAATCTTTGCAGATTGTGTGCGCGTCTTTAATTGAATAGCGTGCCTACACACTGTACTGTTGCTCTGGGGATCATCCATCCAACCGTCCCGCCCTCTACAGCGTTGTGCTGCGTCGTGGAGCGCAGGTGTGGCGACGCATCCAAACGAATGGGATTACGATCCAGTCTGACGGCAGACGCTACACGGGTATCTTTTGATGCTGGCATGCTGCCGGTTGCCAATATCATTCATGCATGTACATGTATGTTTGCACTGTTGAAACACCATACAAGAATTACCATCATCCTAATCATGGAGTTGCATCTGTACGCACTATCGAGCATCTGCGAATCAGAAGTCAGTGGTCACAACATACCTTAGTATACTCTCATAGGTACGCTGATGCGTCCCCGCCGTGCCTCAGTGTGACCCGGCCCGGACACGGGACGACCTTTAGTGGCGCGTGGCTGATATGGAATTGGATTCGAAGAGTGAACCCATACAATGGACCCCGGGCGAGCCAGGTGAGAGTTGTGAGTGCCAAACTTTTTCTTTTCTTTTCCTTCTTGAAATTTGTCGTTCCTTCTCAGGGTCCTTGAGGCGTGGCTTCCTTGTCGCTCTCATATCGAGGTACATATTTCGTACATTGTCTGCGTGTTGCATGTCTTGAATGAGTGAGGAGAGAAGGAAAATAGCGGATAACTTGACTTCCTCAGCTGCCTGCCTAACCTTGTCTTTCACTGCCACTCAATGCTGTCAAAGACGGCCCCTCCCTCCTTGATAAGACTAAAAACTACATGTACATTCACCAAAGGTAGTGGTTGCTGATCCTCGAAACTTTGCCCTGTGCTAGTCGTTGTATTCCGTACTCAACGTTGAAAAAAGTTACATCAGCTACATTACAGAGGTACCTGATTGATTGCGAGAGCAGCCGCTGCCGTTCTTCGTTTCTCTAAATTCTGACACGCAAACTTGACAACAGTTGACTCGTACACCCTCCTTGAACAATCAAAGCACACTGCACACACTGCAAACGACCAACAATAACTACATACTTCGGCTTAGTTCAAGAACGTCTCTCCCTCTCTCCCTCTTCCCTCTCACGGCCGGTAGCCATTCTCCGAGGCATCAGAATAGAGTTATACCCGACACTACTTTGAACTTCCTCCCTCTTCGGTTTTGTCCCTCTTGTCCCTGGCCCCATTTTGCCCACGTCCGAAAGGCGACATACTCTCCCCTCTTTATTTCACATGCCCAACTTCAGGGATCCTGGTGACTGGTGAGTTGGGATTTGAGAAAGATTGATAGGTATTACGGAGTCAACTACGGAGACTTTGGAACCACTTGTTCCCAACGTGGTAGACGCCAGACGCGAGAGCGGGACCCCCCTCCATCTCACCTTCACCTGTTGGACAAATTGGCAGTGGGGAAACATCGCGCGAGCATACGACGATCAACCTCAGCTACTATTTCAGCCAGCAACGCCTGAACGATCCTGCGTTGCGGTCTGTTGTGTTTGTTGCTCGCTACCTAGCAGCTAGCATTCTGTCCGTCACCGTTCTCTAGATAAGACTCTTTTTTTTTTTTTTCTTATCAGACCTTGCAGAATTAAGGTAAGCATCCGATCTCCTCTTTCTGCTCCCCCCTCCCAACCAGAGCACCGGGGAAGTCCACTCGGATATATATCTGCTTGCGCGCAGCAAACTACCCTTACCTACTCCATTTCACGTCCGGTCGCATCTTCAACTTTTTTGGGAAATATTTCGTTGGCGGGGTTGCCATTGTCTCGATTGGCCTCGGGCTTCGAAACGCGCGTTCCTTTTCGGCATCTGCAATATCACATACGCCAGATATTCTGAATACTTGTTTTATCCATCCTTTGACAGCTAGAATACTCGAGCCTTCTGTTGCAATTTGCGATTCTCTACAAGATCATCATCATTCACCATACTAATCTGCGTCCTACCCGTGATAGATAGACGCCACGCAGAAGCAGTCGAAGTCGTCTACGGAATCTTATACAGAGGGGGAGAAAAGGCAATGGCTACACTTGGACGCTCGCTCAAGTCGCCGTCGATGTTGTCCACGATGGCTTCGCGCCGACCCGCCATGCCGGGCCGATCACTGTCGAATTTGTCAAACGCCTCAGAAGTCTCGGCAGTCTCTTCATCTGGCGAATTCTCCGGCGAAGACATTATATTTTCTGCAAAGCCATCTCCAGTCCCTCAGTCTGGGAGTTCATGGCCCATCCCACCGAAGAAGACGGCCGACCAACACTCGAAGCTCCCCGGTATGTGTAAAACTTGTTCCGTTTCTTTTCTCACTTTTGTCTTCCCCCTTGCAGTCATTCACTGGACCCCTTTCCTTCGTCTCGCGCATTTTGTCTGCCCAGACATGCAAAAATATTTCCAACAATGGGCCTTGGTCTAAGTCTGTGGGCTCAACCCGACCGTCTCTTCTGTTTCTGGGCAGGGTATCGCAAGCAACTCCACGGGTTGCTGGGAGATAACTAATCTCTTGGGGGCTTATTACCGTCGTTGCCGTATTGCCGAAGTGCTATAGGGCAGGCGAGTTGCGCTTATCCATCTGACCTGGCGCTTTCTGCTGAGTGGCACACCGACCATTGGGTGGCACGGGAAAGCCAAGCGAGCCGCTAGCTAATGCCCCCCGCCACACCAAAATCCGCCGTTCCAGGGGACTACATTTTAGTGTATCCAAGCGCAGTGCACGCACAGCACCACCTAGTGTAGGGCGAGGGCAGGGTGCACATTGACGTGCTTTGCACTGCTGGTGACCTGAACGCTGCTGCGACGGCGCTGGCGCTGGGTGTAGTGTGTGTGGTGGGATGGGTTATGGCAATGTGGGATTGTGGCACACCCCCGCCATTCTTCCTTCAGGGTCCTCTGAATCCGCATAGAAACCCGCCGATTGCGCAAACGTCAGAAAGCGTCCACTTGAGCGGTCTGTTGTTGATTCGTTAGCGGGCAGAGTTGAGAGGCGGATTAAGAGCATTCAAGGCACTCGCATAAGCCCCGGAAACCCCTAAGCGCCTCCAGTTTGCCAGTGTACCCATACCTCTGCTGCGAGACAGACTGGCAAACTGGGGCCCCTTTCGGCTTTCCCATTGTGTGCATGGGGTACCCGGTTTGTTGTCTGTTGCAGGGCAGGACCCGAATCGCCATTTCCAACGCTACGTTGTACGTACCTTGGACGTGCAGCACACAGGGTCAAGTGACCCAAGTGCGTCATGTACCGCAACAGACGGACGTTTGAGGACATTCGCACTGCTGCTTTTCTTTATTACCAACAAGACACGGTCGTCTTTTTAGCAATCTACTTACTGACTCGTTGATCAATTAGAGTCGACATCTCAAACATCTCATGCGTCTCCCAGTCAGCCCATCGCAATTGAGCTCCCTGTTATAAGAAAGCCACGGCCAAGCAATTCTTCCGTCTATACTCCGCCAGCGCCACTATCAGCACGCGGAGATCTTCCTGGGTATGTCATTTGTTGTTATCGCCCTAGCCCAACTTGAAGCATGGGGAGTTTTTTCTTTCTGCAAATTCTAGAAATCTCGATCGCTTGCCAATACTTGTTTACTTGCCTTGACTAACTTTTTACAATTTTTTCCGCGGCGCACAGTGGCTATTTTCCTCTTCACGAAGACCAGAGCCGAATATACCGCAGCCATCCTTTTCACCTGGACGCTTCAAAAGCCCGAGAGAAGTCTCTAAAGAACGCCATAGAATCTTGTTCACCAGACCCGCACCCACTCCCTTCAGCTCCAGTTACAACAGGTCGCACGCCGCCGCCGCCGAGACTGTCAATGCCGACCAAGATGCCTTCCTTGGGCGCACAACAGCCTCCCCAACCGGCTAGCGGTAGCAGCGCTCATACGCCCGTCGCATCGTACATCCCAAGCGGTGTGCACGCCAATCCTTTGCCTATGGGAAAGTACTATCCTTCCAATTATGAACATCGACAACCTTCGCCACAAATGCACCCTGTCCGACCGTCGGTGGGAAACTCAACATCGACTATCAAGTCTGATCCTCAAATTCCTACAGTCCGTACTGAAGGACCGTCAGGACACTCGAGGCAAGAGTCTGAGGCCAAGCGCAGATTGCAGCAGTACCAAAGAGACATGATTGCACAGGCGAGTCTTGCCATCAATAGTGGAAATTTGAACGCTGCAGCACTGAATGCCATTTCTTTGAGGAATATTGGGTTCAGCAGCGCCCCTACGAAACCCAGCAAACCAAACCTGGCTCCCCTCGGAAGCCCAGGGCCAGTCACTCCGTTGGATTTGGAAACGAACGATGACGGCTATCTCGGTGTACGCTTTCGCAAGTCGGAGGATCAGCATGCCAGGGACGACATTAGTTGCGCTCTTCGAGCTGAGGGCCAGAGGCGCCAGAGGGAAAGCGATCGTTCACCAGCTCTAAGCCCCGTGTTCTGAGTTGTAAGACGGGACTTTTCAACTACTCCAAGTACTTGATGTGTAACATGACTTTGTCGCAAATTATCGCTCCTCTTCGCCATGATTAGGTTTCTACCTCAAGAAACAGCGAACGGCGAATTGGCGAGTCATTGTCTACTTGACGCGCACACATTTTTCACACGAGAGCCTACAGCTGCGGCTTAGGCTTATGTGGACATGGGTGTAGGTGTCCATCATGTCGGTAGCAAGGACAACAAGAACATCCTGCAGCCGACGGAGACACGCACACAAAACACGAACACGAATCCTCCCTTGATACCCAACATACTTTTCTGTCCGGCAAAAGATCTAGGAGGAAGATCCGACCCGGACCCGGCATTATTAGACATCATATTGGCCTTGCTATAGAACTGGCCAATTGAATTTCTGCTGTGACAATCACGCAGTTGTCACTGGGACACAAAAACACAGATGTGTCACGATCGTTTATCTCTTGCTTTGTTCTCTGTTTGTGTTGGTGCCATGACTGAAGACGTCACTGGCTGGATGGAGGAGATAGAAAAACTGAAGGTTAGAAAAGGGCGGAAACTGGATGCGAATGAAAATGGAAGTATGAACATGACTATAATGTACGCTACAGCCACGGCTTCCAACATGTTGGTTGGTTGGTATTACTGAAGATTGAATGTTCAATTCTCACTTGTGTGTGCGTGGATGAATGATCACATTTATATTTGCTATACGTGACGAGAAAATAAGTGCTAACAACAGTGATTGAAGGGCTGCATACCTACTAGGTAGGTAATGCAGTTATACTGACTCTTGGCGTTTTGGAGAAGACTCGACCATGTGGATAGCAATATTCTTCCATGAATCAATCTGGTTATCGGCAATGAGAAAGCCACAAGACAATGAATTAAAGTGGTTATCTAGTGTGAGACAGGAGGGAAAGATAATGTTCTATTAATAGTTGATATTGTATGGAGTCGCAATTTCCTCTTCTTTCTGCCATGGGGCGCACAACCGCCAGCTTACGGGGCCCCCCATTCAACATTCCAGCTCACCAAATTGTTGCATGTGAGAGCCACTCTTTAACGCCTACATTTCTCTTTCACACACTCTCTCTGTCTCTTCATTTTTATTGTAATGTCTTGGCAAAACCCCACTTTGATTTTTCAAGTCGCTTTGCAGTAATTCGCAGGAAAGCTCCCTTGCCGTCCTGCCAACTCCCCAACCCACCAGTCCTGATCCGTGCCCGTTTTCTTCACTATCTTGATCCGGTCGCCTTCCTGGAACGACAAATCACCGGCGCTCTGACCAGTAAAGGCGTAAAGCGCAACCACGTATTCCTCGGGCAGCTTGTTAAGCCCAATACGTTTGGGTGGTGGCGGTGGCGGCTTCTTTTTTACCACGCCAGGCGAGACGCTGTTGGTCGAAACCGTAGATGGAGCCGTCGAAGCGCTGCTCGGTGGACGGAGTGAGAAATAGTCACTTCTCGACTTCAATGAGTTGGGTGAAAGGCCCCCTGGTGGCGATCGTCCGTAGCCAGATGCTGTAGTAAACTCAGTAGGTATGCCAAGATTCGAATTTGAGGCATAGTTTGTGTTGTTGAAGGTCGGACGAGGCCCGGGCGTCGCAACAGGTGTCGAGGAAATGCGTGTTGGGCGGGGCGGCATGGGGCCAGGCCCGTCGTCTCGTGAGGGAATGAGATTACTCGAGGCACGCCGGAAGCCATTCGGTGGTCCAGCCGCCGAGGGCCTTCGAGTGTTGTCCTCGGCTTGTGCCTCAATATTGACATGCATGGGCTGCCTTGCCGCCTTGCCGTGAGCCACGCAGCTGATTGACTCGACATCCTTTCTGGCAGGGCCAAATGCAGCTTGCCATGTTGCGATGACGTCCTCCATGGGAGGTGGTGGTGATGGGAAATTGTGACTTTCGCAATAGTTGTGGAGCACCGTATAATAGAGACCAAGCAGGCGATTTTGAATCAAGACCATGGCGTTGACCAACGGAGGTACCAGGCTGAATGCTGCATTCACGATTGGCGGCAATGTCTCTCGAACATGGTTGTCAACAACTTGGAACTCCTGTGGGTCTTGTCAATCATCTGAGCCGCTGCAAGTCCGGGACAGTATAGAGTGATTGTACTTACATCTGTGGCTCTGGCAAGCTCCTCTTGTGCTTTGACTAGGGCAACTTCATCCTTGGAGGACTTGCCGGGCTTCCTCTGCAGCTTCAGCGCCTTGTCTTGAGCCTTCTCATAGTCCAATCGCCTATTGTCTCTTTTCTTGATGGTCTTCTTGATTGGAGCGAGGCAGTCTCGTGCAGACGTGGCTGGCGCAATGATACTGGACTCAATCTGGCCGAGCTCGTCCGTGAGCTCCGTCTTGAGCTCCGCATACGCCTCTTTAAGACTAAAAGTCCGGTGTAGTTGAAGCTCGGGAGTGGCAACGGCCGTCCGCACATTGGTTCGACCGGTGCCTTCGATGGGGTCGTATAGGCCTTCATATTCGGTGACGATACCCAGCTGTGTGGAAGTCAGCGCAACCCAGGAGTCGCGCCATGACTTGGTGTTTTCTATAATCTGGAGACGAGCAATTAGAATAATGGGGCATCTCTCAGGGGGTTGGTAGGCTGGTCCCGCCAATTGCCAGAGGAGCATACCTTCTGAAGAACATTGTCGGCATCCTCATAGTCGTTCAAAACAGCAGAGACTTTGGCATTGTCTCCTGGAGCCTTGTTCATCAGCTTGCCAAACTGTCTCTGCATGGACTGCATTTTTGCTTGTTAGCACTTGGAGTGCTGCCTTTAGGGCGTTGAGCAATAAGGTAGGCGTCGGAGGTCGTCAGGTAGCTGTTTTGTAGCAGGGCCGGCCTGGTTTTGCGGGGTAGATAGGTGAGTCGAGAGGTTTGGTACCAGAGCTGCATGTAATATAAAGTTCGTGTTGAGCGGGCGCAAGATGCGAAACGAGTGGCAGCTTCAATCAGCGTTGTTCAGAAGAAGGTTCTGCTCAATGAAGAATCATCTGAGCCTTTTGGGCAAGAAAAAAGAGAATGCGACACTCAAGAAAGACAAGATAGGAAAAAATAAGCCCGGGAGAAATATTTTGGGAAAATTGCCAGTACGTAGGTAGGTTCGCGGCGGGCGTGGGTGTCTAGTCCGTATCGCGGCGCTACTTGCGTCAGAGCAAATTACTACCCATACGATCAACTACAGACCCCGGTAATGGGAAATGGGAAATGCTAGCAGGTAGCGCACTTTTGGGCAAGGTCGAGGTACCCTACCCAGAAGATTGATTGCGAGGCTTTGTTTGGAACTGCGCCGCGTGTGTAGCCTGGGAACTTGTTTGTGTAATGTAAAGTGGAATGCAATGAGGAGCTGGCAAGGACCTCAAGGGCTAGAATGGTTGGAGGAAAGATCGCGGACAAAACGGCACCGTTGGTCATGAAAATCAAGCTTGAGCACAAAACAAGTGAGTGATCCAGCTTTGATCTGGAGCTACCTACATCAAGGTAGTGCCGTTACGTTCAGAAAAACACCCCGGAGAGGAAAGGAATATATGGGAGTAGAGCAGTCGCAGCGCAGCGCAGCCCGTACAGCTGACGTCTACATGTACCGTGGCCACTCCTCCTTTCGCGACGGCCTACGTTTGGATATCGGGACAAGAGGGAAAGAAATACGCTGACCTGGGCAGGTACTTCAGAGCAAAAGAGTCACGTATATCAGACATGATCCTCACAAGCAACTATTACGCGATATATAGCTCTGGCCCTTACTCTTGCAGACAATACCTACATTTGTGTAAGCCACAGCTGCGTGGTCGTGGAGGCCATTGCTAGAGGTTGAGATGAGATGGACATTGAACGACAATTGGACCGCCCGGCAAACTGTCCCGAGCTAGGTGAAGGACAATGTCACGGTTTCTGCCCGTCAGGAGCCCAAGTTCCGCCAGTGCTACCGTGTCACAATGCGTCCGCCAAAGCTCGTGTGTGAGGGAGCGACCGTTTGACGGTTTATCCCAAGCGTAAATCCTTCCGTGCCACTGGTAGGTTTTGCTATTCCGACATCCCGCCAAAGGGATCAACGGATGGTCGAATCAAATCGTACGAGCGTCCAGGCACACAAGGCACAGCACGGCACAGCCAGCCATTTGTGATGTCGAGCTGTCGCCACAAAAAAAGAAGTTCGAGGCACCGACCAGGGAGACAGATTGGCGGAGACTGAAAAGATTTCTGGAATTCTTCCTTCAGATCCATCGGTGGATCAGGCCATCTAAAGCTGAGATACTACCTGCTAGGTAGGTGTTTGACAGCTTACACGTAAAAGACGACTATCATGAAACACCGGGATCAATCGGCCAGATCCGGCTCTTACTATAGGGCAATCGATCGCTAACCTGTTTGTGATTAGAGCATAAGGCGTCAAACTTGGGTTTTAGTGCGTCGGGGCCATCATCGAGAACATTGCATTGACCTCTGGCTTATAGGTACTATCACATGATATATGACCACAATAGTGCAGTAACTTCGTAGTTATGCTTGATACCTTTTCTAGGCGTGAAAACTCTACTGTATAACTTAGAATCATTATACTGCTGCTCGCAAACAATATTTCCAGGCGCAATTCGCAAGCACCATGATATATGTCTTGGTCTGGCAGCACTGGAGGGCTGGTTGCTGTCCCTCCCCACCACCTCAGTGTACTTCTTTGAATTGGGCAACCATTAGAACCCCGCCAGGCACCTTTGGACTTGCCTAACCCAACTGGAAACAACACGTGCTCGCGCGCTCCAGACGCGCCTGCCTGAAATTTAATGGCCACTCAACCGCTTGAATGCCCCGTGCCAAATCGACGCGTCTCAATTGCCAAAAACTTGAGGCTAGCTTGAGATTCGTCGCGGCATGACGACCTCAAATTTACGAGAACTTGTCCAGGGACAGATGCAAGGAGACGCAATGCTGGATTCTTCGGTTATGCACCCATGAGCATGAATACGGGATGACTGATTCTACTGAGCGAAGCCTCAACCTTCTCATTGCCGCCTGCGGATTGCGGCCAACACGATAAACCTGCTTCATCTCCACAGCTGAGCAAAGGTAAGTTCAGGGAGAACCTAGTGGCAGTGGAATAATGCCTTCTCTGACTTTGGCTAGATTTGTCTGAACTCGCCGAGCAGCAATTACTTTGTCGATTGCTTCTTACACAATGCACAACGCAGCTGCATCGCCGTCGGCTCAGGAGCCTTCCTCGAGCGTTGTGTTTGAGCACGTTTGTCTCTTTACGCGGGATATCAAGCGGAAGCAAAAGAGATGGCAAGATGGCCGTCTGAAGTTTCACGCCTTCAATAAGCGTATCATGGTGTACGACGATCGCGGGAACTTCCTTGGTGACTCCCACTGGCGAGAGGACTATGAATTTGGCGACGGTGAAGAATTTCAGCTAGAGCGAGGGGCCGTCCTCGTCCAAACAGCAGAATGTGTATCAAGTCATAGACAGGATCTCTCTGAGCTGATCGACAAAAGGGTTCAGGAGAAAATCCAGCGACAGTCTGCTGCTGCTGCACGCTCTCCCAGACCCGGTACGGCGCAAGTTTCGCCCCAGACCGGCAAAGATCATTTCCAACTTAGACATACGCCTCTATTGAGTGTTCTTGGGACCCCAAGTGGGCACCACGGACGCGCCTTGGTCCCCTCGGATTCACCTTATGAACAGAAACAAAAGTCGAAGTCTCTGCAATTACTACAACAGGGACAAAATGAGACCCCAGAGCCTGCAAGACTTAGGAGAAGAGAGGCATCACCTACAAGGAAGAGTGGCTATGCCACAAGTCTTTTTGGGGCCACGCTGACCTTATCTGGCCGGCCTATGAGTAGCGCTCCTTCTCGCAATCGCCCTCGATCAATACAATTACAACCGCCCGAGCAACCGGAGGTATTATCATCGAATGTGAGCAATCAGGACAGGGACCAAGATGAAGGTTCTGCAGTGTTGCCGCAACCTAGGAATCAGGGAAATGACAACGCTCCGCTTGCTGAAAGACGCGCCACCACGGTTAATATCCCAAGAGCCCAATCTGCAGTCCAAGCAGAGAACAAGGTGAAGCCTCGAACCCAAAAACAAGTCAATCAAACCAATGTCATCACTTCGGATGTTGTAGACTTGACAACCGACATCGACAATCAGCGTCGCCCAAAACCCTCTCACCGAGAAAATCTGGCTAAAGAGCCTAAGAGACTGCTGGCAAAACGAATTGAGAAGCTAGTTGCGACGGATATGATACTAAGGGAGCATGTTGAGAAGCCGGCTCCGCCAGAGATTATGCCAAAGGAGCAGCCAGCAACAGCACGCGAGCCTCGGATTGAATTGCGCATGGCACCTAGTAAGAAACGGGGATTGTTGTTCCTTTCCGAGAAGAGTAGCACAAAAAGCCATCGGACATCCAAACGGCCACGAGCTGAGACAGACTCGGACCATGACGCGCTCTCAAGGACAACTAGTGAGCCCAGCGTCAATTCATCAACTGGGACAGACCAAACAGCGTCAATCAATAGAGAGCCGAAATCTGCACCGACGCGACACGAAGAAAAGACCTACGGACAAACACCTGCCGTCACTGCTCCAGATTCGATAGATCATGGCGAGTTGGTAGAGCTCAGCATTTCTTCTGAGAGTCCCCAACAGTCAGCAAGGGCACCCGCAGGAACCGGTTCAAATGGTAGGGCCCGTCAGGCTGACACAGCATCATACAACTCGGATGCCATGTCCTCTACAAGGTGCAAAAATAGCAGAGACCAGAGTGCCATACAACCTTTACCAGAGAAAGAACTAGCCGAAAAAGCGACACACGGCGAGATTTCTCAAGGCCGCGAGCAGATCATCGTCCAAGAATCTTTCAGAGGACTTCCATTCTCAAACCAGCAAAGGATTGGTGCAACCCATTTGCGCGCTGGTGACTTTGATGAAATCATCAGCAGGCGCCCGCAGAACGCACCACCCCCGCGCCTTGCTAAATTGAGGAATAGTATACGCAGTAGAGAAGTGATCGGCCTGTTTTCCGAAGACTTTCAGCCATCTGCGTTCACGACAGAAAATGGAGCTGGCGATAGGGCTGCCAAGGACAACAGTGGACCTTGGAGTAGAGAAGCCCACGATCTATTTGAGTACAGGCGGCCTGAGTAATATGCTGAATTGAGACGTCATTCTGCTTATGGCAGAATAAAAATATGTTACAGACACAAAAAGCGATTCAGTTACACAAGTCTTACGAGTAACCTGCATTTGCCACAGCAGGCCCGGACAAAGTCCTAGCTGTTGGCCCTGAATTTAGGACGATGCATGAAGGGTTCAAAGGAAGAGGGGACCGAAAAGATCGTCGCCTTATGGGCTGATTCTACAAAGCAAAATAGAGGTGCCGGGCTGGACTCCACATGGTTGTGTAATGCGCATGGGATACATTTGCCGTCGAAGCAGCATCTCGGCTCTTCTCTCAAATGCAGACAGGAATAAAGGGACCAGATTTGCCTGCCCCTCATTCGCGCAAGCAGCGTGCTGAGCTGACCTGGGTACCTACATACCTTGCACGTACAGTGGTATACAGCCTGGTCATTCTATCCACCTTTTTGCTTACCGGATGCATTTGTCAAATTCAGTGTGAAAACCGAACCTGCCGCAAGCCTGAAGCTTTTCTACGACCAATGCGATTTTGCAAATGTCGCAAAACGCAAATGAGCAGCAAAATGGACATTTCCAGGTCCACACTGCAGTTATGACTCGGCAATACACCAATGGGCGAACGACGCAAAGGTCCAACGGCCGCCAATAGATGGTGGGGGCCGCATGTGGCGGGCGAACCAACAAATAAGGCAACGGATGAGGGCAGGGTCACCTATTCTGCCTTAGGGTCAGCCTCAAAGCCTCGAGCCTCGCGACCTACTCTCATATTATCCTCAGTCTCCCAGGCATCCATTTCTTGTTGGTTTCTTTCACATTCACGTCACATCCTTCTACACGCTCGACCCATCCCCATTTGCTCGTCACTCGATTTCAATATACCGAATTGTCTAGGGTCCCCGGGCTACGGCCTAGGTTTTTCATCTTGTCTCTCTCAAATATATTCTTTTCTTGATTTTAAGACAAGGCTGTGAGGATTGATTCCCTGACTCAGCTGGCTACGTGATCCTGTCGCAATGCCTCTTGACCTACCGCTTCAAACACGACGCCCGAGGGCCAACAGCCAAGGGACCGTCGAAAAGATCCCGGTGGAAGCATCACCTAAGAACCAGAGCATCTATAATTCAATCCGAGATGATGAAGAGCGCCACCAGAAACAGCGCCATCTTCAGCAGCATGTCATCGCTGAAGATTTCCTGTGTCCGCCCGATACATTGGCACCGCCTATGGCAAGAAGTATCACAAATGACAGTCAAATCAGTGCCAGCAGCCTATCACCCGCCTCAATGACAGAACCGCAAGAATGCAATATCCCAGTAATAGAAGTGTCCCCAACGACAAAAAGACGCCCCCGAGGACGGAGAGCCGGCCCTTTGGGTGCTGAAAAGAGGTATAAGACGGCAATAAAGAGGAAATTGGGATTAGTCTGCGATCGCTGCAAGCAAAAGAAAGTTGTCGTAGGTAGTTTCCAATCATATGGGACCCGTACATAGTCTTATCTAACGCTGGTAATCTACAGTGCGATCATTACGATCTTTCCAAGCTTGAAGAAGCTTATCAAGCGCATCGAAGCGCCACGCAAACAGAGCCCCAAAAGCTCAGCCCAGCCGCGACGGATCTCTTTGGCCTGGAGAACAGTCGAGCTCCAACACCTAATTTTCCAGCAGAGGAAGACATAGCGAATGATCTCAACGGGCTTCCTGCTCAACCGCACAACCGACAGGCAGATCTCTACAATTACATTAGCAGCTTCAGTGTCGACAACGTCAGTTTTAGCAACAATAACATCAGGAGCACGTACACTACAACCTTCGACCAGTCGTATAGCCCTGGTCTTCCCAGCTCCGGGCCACCATCTCAGATCGTATCTCTCCAAACCCCCGTTCCGGTTGGCAGTGAAATACCTGCTTTCCCTTCGAGGTGGAAATGTGAATACAAGAGCTCAGGCCTCGACTTTTGCCCGCCAGAAGACGCTTGCTCGTGGACCGGGCCACTGCAGGAGTTGGAGGCACACTTTGTAGCTGAACATTTTGTGTTTCAAGGTCCAGAGTACTGGTGTGAATGTACTATATGTGGGACGCTCGCTTTTGGATGGAATTCTCCGAAACAGTGTTCAGAAAGTTGTTATGGGAGATCGTGGCGGAGATGCTTATATGGAACCACTTCGGCCACTACCGCTACCCTTACGCAGTCTGTGGAGTCGGAGAGTGTGTTCTCGTATGATGCAAGATCGCCTTTTGGCTGAAATCTAGGCGCTGCGTCACGAAGCCGGAGATGCAATGTGCTTGCTTGCATGTGGAAATGGATGGAGTTCCTATATTCTTTAATACTCCTCTTCTTTTTTTTTTTTTTCCCCTGTCGATGGCAATCAATGGTGCCTATGAGTGGGCTGTCGGCTATTGTACATTTGATACCCACACTTTCGATTTTGACTATATCTACTCGAAAAGGATTTCATGGTTTCTCAAATGCGCTTGGAGTTACTTGGTACGAGTATATATGTATAATTATTCCAGTAGACGGGCTAAATTCTTAGGTTGCCTCCCATCATACAAAAAGAAAGTGCGGCGTCAAAAACGCTGATGATAAACGGAACCCGGGCAACAATGATACAATTGTGCCATCGAATGTGAGCAACCAAGAGAAAAACACGTATAGCCACTGGAGTTTCTGCTTCTGGCCTTTCCGGGACCAATACCCGCTTTCCCCAGTCTTCTCATTAGCACACCAGTAACAAGTCGCTTAGATTGGTATCGATCGCCAGAATAATGCGACAAGGTATAAAAAAGAGTATAGCTACGGGTTGGTGGAATGTTTAGGTAGTAGTGTGAAATTGGTAGGTCGTGACAAGACATTGTTGCATGGAACTCTTTTTAAATCGCTAGCGACCTCAGGCACGATTGATTGAATATGAATCATGCCGGCGGCCATCCCAATTCATATCCTGTTAGTTCAAAAGAAGGGGAGATATAAAGCCACGGATAGTCCCCCGCCCTTCAAGAAAAGGTCAGCGACCGAGAAAGTTGCTATTCTCCTTGGTCTAGATGCTACGTACCATATGACGATACGGTCTACTTGGTACATGGACATGCATAGCTGCTTTCGTCTCACAGAAAAAACAGAGACTCGGGGGTGACAATTCAATTGATGACATGTGGGGTTTCCGAGGTTGACTCATCTCAGCAAAAGTCAATACATCAAGGTAAAGATTGACCAATGATACGCTCGCCGGATTATGGCCTGAGGCATCCATGCCGTCTTTGCATATGGACGACGCTGGCCGAGATGACAAAAGTTCCCGGTACGGTTTGGTGTTAGTGCGGCCGGCCATGGGCGTATGGGGCGCGTAGCAGAGGCCTGGTTGAATTGGATCCAGGCCCGCAGCAAAGGTGCTAGAGCTTAGCTAGGATTGGCTGGGGGCTCAGCCCAGGCTAAACCCATTTCTGTTCGCCGAATGTCTCATTCCTCCTTCACTCCCCACGCTCCGCCCTGCTGCGAATCCGATGATTGAGAGAGGCTTTGCGAACCGAACTTCCAGGCCACCACCCGGGAGTGAAATAGTCCAGTGACTCCCCCGGACAAGCAGAAGACTTCTTTCTCCTTCCTTTCCTCCTTCTTCCCTCCACATTCTCTCTAGCAGCCAACAAGGACGAGCCAGTCTCTCAATTTCATTCCTCGAGATACCGAAAGGGCATCATCCAGACGCATCTCGAGCCAGGCACCCGCCCCCGGATTGCAAACAAAGTCCTCCCCTTTTGCAAACGTGCCGTGCAGTGCCCCTCGACGACCATTGTCCCCATTCGGAAAAGGAAGGAAAAAAAAACCAAAAGTGTCAGCTTTCAAACCATCGACTTTACTGACCGCACAATTTTACTCTTCTTCATCTCATCTCTCTGCCTGCCATTCTACGTGTAGTAGCAGCACTAAGAAGACGAAGACGACAATAAATTTAGCGAAACTAGATCTTGGATAGAAGAAGAAAACACCTGACAGGGATTCATCTTATCCACCATTAATCGCTTATACCAATACTACTACTTGCCATCTCATCACAACTTAACTGCAAGTCAAATTGGCGGAACCAACATTTCTGCTCGTCATTTGCAGTTCCTTGCACCCCTTCAGTGAATTGGTGCACAACTCGGCAAGTTAGTCGATACACTTTTTATCCGTCAAAGTGTATTCCCCTGCCCAAGCCAAGAGCACCACAACCTCTATGGCCATGTCTCAAAACAGCTATTCCCAATCTTTGATGGGTTTCTCCGTCCACCAACCCGCTCCTGGCGCTCTGCTGCAGTTCTTCCCTGAGATGGGTTCTCAGCAGCTCGATGAGATGATCGACGCCTATGTCCCTGGAACAGCCTCCATCCAGGACAAGCGCACCACCGTCTCCTTGGAGTTCTGCGAGCACTCAATGGTCACTGGCGAGATGTACAAGTTCTTCCTTGTCTACCCTGCCGCCGGTTCCAGCACCGCCTCTCCCGCTAGCACCATGCAGGATTCTGGATACGCCTCCAGCTTCAACACCTCTCCCGTCCAGAGCCAAAATATGTGGAACGAGACCACCATGGACTGGCCTTTCGCCGCCGCCTCCCCCAAGAAGGCCCGGACATCCGCAAAGAAGGCTGCCCCTTCCTCGTCACGGACACAGACCGGCGATTTCTCTCACATTCCTGGAATGAAGATCATGACCAAGGAGGGCGTCGATGTTACCAATGCAGCCTCTCGTGGTTGCAAGACCAAGGAGCAGCGGGACCACGCACATCTCATGAGAATCATCAAGGCCTGCGACTCGTGCAAGAGAAAGAAGACGCGCTGTGATCCCAGCCACAAGAAGCGCGGTTCTTCTATCGCTGCATCTCCCGAACCCAGAGTGTCCAGCAAGAAGGTGAAGAAGGCCGCTCCACCACCAAAGAAGAAGCAATTGTCTCCAGCAGCTCAAGCCGAGATTACCTTTGATTCCACCCTGGACCCCATGATGGCCGAGTCTCTCTCCTTTGACGCTGACTTGACAGCTGCGGCTGAGTCGACAGTCAACGACTGGGATCAATTCATCACTTTCAACGACGAGATCACCGACGTTCCTCAGGACTACGACTTCTTCTTCGACACGACAAGCTACTACTCACCGATGACTACTGAGGGCTCCGCATCGGCCTCATCAAGCCAGATTCTCACCCCAGGCCAGAGCCAGCCAGTAACACCGGCGCACGCCTCCGATATGGTTGGTGGCACCGAAATTGTTGCTACTGACCTGCTTGGCTTGGGCAGCAGCTACCAAAAGCCAACGCTCCCATACCTTCAAGACGCCAATGTCGAGGCTGGCAACAACTACGTCGACTTTGCCCTATACTCGCCAGGCTCTTCTTGTCTGGATGAGGACCCGGCCATGTCAACCGAGCTTTCGGCTTCACGAAGCCCCGAGGAGTACATCGGAGACCAAAGATCGACTAGCTCCATTCCAGGCGTTCAGTCGACATCTCGTGGCGGCGTCAACATATCTTCGCAGCAATTTAGTCCTCGCGTCGTCGACCGCCGCAATGCATCTACGCTAGGCGACGTCCAGAGTGTCCTTGCACGCGACGGGCTTACTCAATCGTCTGATCAGACATACTATGATCCAGGCCACGATCGAGATCAGGGCTTCCGACAATCAGGCCAACAAGTCTCTGACCTGAGCTGGAACACTCGAGCTTCGCCTCACCCCATTGAGTCGCGGGTTCCTGGTGGCACCGTCTCGCCAAGTGACACTCTCCTGAGACTACCTCCACGACCAGGAGTTCATTCGACAAGACTTGCTGGAGACATGGTTCATGCGGCATCTGTGCTTGCGAACGGCATTGAAGCCAACTCATCACGACATCCACTAGCCACCTCAGCGCAGACCGAACAGCTGCTTGTGACGGTAAGCTGCGCCGGACATAATTTATTGAAAGTCAAGCTAAATGAAAAACAGGACCGCCAACGGGCCTCAACATTGAGGACGGCTGATGTTTCCGACAGTGCAGTGGCTGCTGCAGGACTGACTGCCAGTTCTCTGTCGCCCCGCACCTCGTCAGGCTCAGGAATTGGACACCAACTCACGAGACCTGTGCACCAAAGACTACGCAAGGGACTTGCTTCCGACCGGACAGACAGTGCCGTGTCGCCAAGTGCCAGGACTAGCACCGCCAATGACGAGGACCTTGTCTTTGGAACTCAAATCATTGCTAGTAGCAGGCGTGCGCAACAGGATATTTCTGGCACCATTGCTAGTAGCAGGCGTGCGCAACAGGATACTTCTGGCATCGTTGCCAACGTTGCCAACGAGAGAGTTCTTGGACAAGATCTTTCTGCAGTCCAAAGCCATATTGCTCTATCCCGTGGCCGCGAACTTCAAAGTCAGGTCGTGGCTGTTGCCTCAAGCAAGATCAGAGCCGCTGTGGCTTCTGCATCGAGCAACATCAGCGCGACGAAGTCTGGCACTGCCGGGACACCCGCTGGACTTGCCGCCATGCAAAACTCGTCTGGGCCATCCCCAGTCAATGGCCTCCAGTCAACAGCCACAATGCTACCAAAGGTGTCGAAGCTAGCGGACAATGCTACATTTTCTGTACAAGGTGTACAGGAGACTTCTGCCGTTGCTCTGATCTCAAGTTTCTTCGCACTTTCCTTAGCGTTCTCACTGTCGCCGCTTGCTGTTGGATACAGTCCATCCCTTGTCAGTATGATACTTGTCGTGCTGTCCTTTGCTGCAGTCTCAAGCTTGCAGCAATACTCCATCTCCTGTGGGGTCCATTTGGGCCTGTTTACACGCAATCTTTGCCTTGCTGGGCAGTTGTCTGGCAATGCTGCCAACAATGCCAAGTCCAAGATCCAAGAAACCCAGTCTTGGCTCGCCAAGAGCTCTGGAAGGAACAACGCTCCGAGCAGAGCACATGCGACCAGACACCTCATCAACAGCAACCTTGGAGTTGCGAGATTGGTACTGGTATAAGAGAACATGAGACTGCTCGATGTTTCCTGTATTTGCTTGTTAGCATAGCGTGTTATTGTTTCCTTGATTTGATACCCATAGGTCTCAGACTTCTGAAGACGTATTAGATGATATACAAAAGAGAAAGATGGAGGAGTGCTTTTGCTGGTTGACGAGTTGGCTTAGCTGGTTGGTTTCTTCTATAAGTGTGGATACCGACTTCCTATAGATCAATGCGACTCTCAACCGTGCATAAATAATGTTGGCTGTTTTGTTCAAATCGTGCAATAAGAACGATGGGTCCATTCTTTGACTCTTGGTCAATACCCTTTGCCCCCATGAACAGTACTATATTGAGTATCTGGTGGCATCCTGGTGACTCCCGATGAAACTGTATCAGGGGAGTGTAGACACAGTGTTTGAATATATGCATATCTCTGCCTCTAGCGTTAGTCTGTTGCAGATCTGGGGGGGGGGGGAATTGACAGGGGCCAATTTTGCAATGCGGTTTTGGCCTTGAGTGGGGGGTGGACTTTTTCTTCCGTTGGTGGCTTGACAAGGCGAAAAATTTCTGAGCCGCAACTGACCAATAACAACGGACAACCTTACAATTACATGCCCATCCATCCAATTTTACATTCTCTTACAGACAAGAAGAAAATCAGGCGCACAGTAGCTTTTGCTTTGGGCTGTGTATTTTGGCTTCTTGGGATACTGCCTTTTCCCGACGATTGAGCTGTCTACTACGGGCACTCTGCATTAGAGTCTGAGAGGGAGGGACCAATCATTGCAATCGTCTCTTGCGACCTTGTCCCACGCCCGCCCGGCAGCAGCAGTGAAGAACAGTGCTGCATACTGGACTTTTATTTTACGGTTTCGACAACCCGAGGAGTTTTGCACATATTCCAGCGCTTTTCTGGGACCTTTGAAACTTGGTATACTATTCATGTCACTCTATATTAGAGTTACAGTGGTTACTGCTTGCCTCTCTTCTCTCTACTCATTGGGTCATAGATGATTATCGGTTGAGTGAAGATTGGGGAGGGTAAATCAATTGGTGGTCTGGAATTTTACATTCATCGATATTGTATAAACGGCCAACCCACAATAGGGAAGATCTTCTCAGTTGATTGGCTGGACTTTTTTGGAATTATTGTTCCCAAACGTTTTTCTGCTTCTTGTCTCTGTTGCTTTTTTTTTTAAAGCTCATTTATTCTCTTTGTTTTTATATTTAATTGCATTTATTATTGGGCAGGAACGAGAGGGGATTGTTTGAGGGAAAATGGCGGGTCACAAGATCTCAGGTTACGTCTTGAGCCTTTGGCAGGTGCTGTTTGCTACTTTCAGGAAAGTGTTCACCCGCCTCTTTCACATTATCTTTTGGAGCAACAGGAAAAACAACAAAAACAACAAAACTTTGCCTGATCAACAGCAACCAGCTGTCGGCAGTGAAGAGTCGACGCCTGCTGCTGCACTTGAGCCTGCACCGGAAACAACATCACCTGGCACTGATCGCCAAGCAACGCAGTCCTCGTCTGCAAACGCTACCAATCCATCACTTGCTACTGCTGCTCCTCCATCCCACCTGAGCAACCCACCGGATCTCGAAAAGGGAGACGCACAATCAGGAAAACAGCACCAGGAACCACACCAACGGCAAGAAGAGCAATTGGATGAAGAAATGGCCAAGCGCAGTAACAAACGCTCCGGCATCAAGGCCAATGGCGGCGCCCAGCCTGCCGGCACCATTGCCAACACATCTGATGCTCAGCAACGAGACAAGGAGAACATGGGCCCTGGCAAATCACTGAACCAAACCGCCACTACAACGTCGTCTTCTCTTGCTGAACCCACCAAGGTCCCTCTCGGCACGTCTGGCCAGGTCAACACCGTGGACACCAGGGGCCGTCCTCCGCAGTCCGACATTCAAAAGCTGAACGGGGCAAGGCCGTCAAGTGGTATTTCTGTCCAGCCATCCTCATCTACCACTTCGAGCATTTCCAACAACCGTACTGATTCCGCCCTGGGAACATTGACTGCTGCCGGATCTCAGACGCCTGTCGAAACCAATGTCACACCAACAGAGCGCAAGTTTGAGAAGCTGGGAGCGGGTAGCCACAGCCAGATCGGCGCACAAACCTCCGACTCTGTACGTAATGATGATCCAACTGCAGCCAGAACGGACAGCACCGCACCTCTTGATGCCCAGGTCAAGAAAGCCACTGCCGCCATCGGCCGTCTTGCCATTGACGACAACACACCTGGACCCGAAAAGGAACTCACCAAGGACACGGCAGCCGTCGAGGCAGCTGGTGTGCCTATCGTTGCCGCCAATGCCAATCCGGGTCAACCTCTGATTGCACTCAAGCCGCTTGCTCCTTTGGTGACGCCCCCTAGTCAGGTGCTCCCTGGCTTGATCGAGCCAGATACCGAGGAGGGTAAGAGAGAACGTGCTATCCATCTCAACTTTATGAGAGAAGCTTTGGCTATGGTAAGTCGGCCTCAACAACGAGATGACTAGAACATTTGGGGTCTTTCCTGCACTATCCTTCGAAGCCTGTCAAGTCTGGGATAATACCAATGCCTTCTTCCCACGACTATTTTTGTCATCGTCATGATCTTCCGACGAACTTCAACTAACCAATAAACAGGGTGACGCAGCTTTATCTATCAATGAGACCCCCGTCGGATGTGTATTGGTTTACAAGAATCGCATTATCGCAAAGGGCATGAATGCCACCAACATCACGCGCAATGGCACACGCCATGCCGAGTTCATGGCCCTGTCTGCACTTCTGTCTCATCAATCAGATGCCGACGTCAAGGACGTCGCGGATCATGATGACGCTTTGTGGGGGGATGTCGATCCGGCTGACGGCCATATCTATCCCTATGGGCAGAAGCTTCATCCTTCCCCCAAGGTTGATCGTTCTATCATCTCAGAGTGCATTCTCTACGTGACAGTTGAGCCATGCGTCATGTGCGCCTCGCTACTACGACAGCTTCGTATCAAGAAGGTGTATTTTGGAGCCGTCAATGACAAATTCGGTGGCACAGGCGGTGTTTTCCGCATTCACATCAACTCAAAGCCTGTCGTCAAGGCCAGCAGCGACAAACCGTACCAGAATGGCTTTGGCCCGCAGGAGATTGAGCGCGCAGCCGCACAACGTGGCAGAGCAGCCATGATGCCTCGTGACGAGGATGATGGTGATGGAGGCAACGTTGAGCCGGGATACCCCGCCGAGGGAGGATTCTTGCGTGATGAGGCCGTTTCTCTCCTCAGACGCTTTTATGTACAAGAAAACGGCAGAGGTAAGCTTGCCCACCACCAATTTATGACATCGCCGACAGCTGCTGACTACGTCATCATAGCTCCTCAGCCTCGCAAGAAGGAAGGGCGGGCTGCTCGATTATTTGCAATGGAGAACGCAGCAGCCAATGGTGGCGTTGTCATGACTGATGCGGATGGCAACATCGTACATGACCCGTCTGGCACGGGCACCGCGACGCCCGTCGATGGAGAGACCACTCCCGTTATGGCTGCATGATTAGACCTGATAGTATCTCATGTTGATGTCTGCAGCCACAATTGACCGCTGGGGGGAAGATGGCTTTGATGTATCATTTTCATGTTAGCATTGCATGCCGCCGCGACGTCGCCGCTGGCCCTTTGGCGTTTTGGTGTGCTTTGAGGGGAGAGGACGCGGCACTGTGAGATGATATTGGCATGAATATCCTTTCAGATAGTCTTTCGTGGAGGGCGATAGAGAGCTATTCTACGAATAATCATGTCTTGTATCGTGATGAGATTTTTGTGTGTGATCTTTTTAACTGCAATCTATATGGGCCATTCTCGCGCAAGGATCTATTAGTGGGAAGGACACTAATTAGATAGACGAGATGGAAATGGATACAACCAGATGAGCCCAAGCTCCCGACTTATGGCACATTTTGTCCGTGTCCAAGCACCTGTACTGATCATTGATTGCCCTTGGCTTCTGCCTTGCCCGGAAGAATCAAGTAATGAGCAACCAGTCTGAGCATATGTTGTCTAAACATTATTGTTTCTGTCCACGTTTTTAACAAGGCTTGTATTAGCATTTTCAGCCAGTCAATCACACCACAAGCAAGTTTATCAAGATATTGAAAAGTATTGTAATAGTGCGCCACTCGTGTATTTCTCTCTCTTTGTGTGTGTGTCCCCATGACCATGGAAGTATGCTTGAATCAAGTACAGAGCTTACCCCCAGAGGTCCAAATAAAAGAGTAAATAAAGGGCTTCTCTTGCCATGCTGATAGCCGGTATAATAAGAAAGAAAAAAAACAATACTAGAGTATAAAGCGCCCAACGCCTTGGACGCCTCCTAATGCCGATGACCCCGTCCAAATAGTGTACAGTAATTGCCATGGTCGATAATTGGTAGTCACCAATCTTGCCCGCACGATATGGCTCATCGTCGACTCGAGTCTGTCAATGCAATCCGCGTGAGTAAACGTGGTTTTGCTAGCTGTTGAGAGCCACCACAGACACCACGTTCACGCGCATGTCTGTATTCCACGAATGTCATCTCCACCCATATCCCGCTCCATTATGGGCCGTTGCAATCATTATCGACTTGCCGCCCCTTCTTACCTCTCCGGCTCTGTCTTTCAACTAGATTCTAACTCAGCACCAGAAAGGGTCCACAATCATGATATTCCGAAAGTCTTTGGCTGAGTATTCATGCATTACGTTTGGTCATGGTCATTTTTATACAAAGTTAAGCGGCTTCGGCCGTCTCCTCGGCAATGGCCGTGCGGTGCTCCCCCTGGGCCGCCTTTGACGGCGATTGGACGAGCCGAATGCCAACGGCTTTTCTTGCAATGTCTACTCCTTTGCGTGGAGAGACAGATGCCCCCGGTTGCTTGCGAGGTCTGCCAACACCTCGCTTCGGGGTGTCGGCCTTGGCAACTGTGCTTTTCTTGGCTGCTGAGCTGGATTTCTTGTTGCCGGCACCAGCAGCGACAATCGTCCCAGCCGATTTTCGTGCTGGCGACTTCTTGAGGGCGGCTGTCCCTTTCGGGGTGGTCGTCTTCTTTCCTGTGGCCTTTTTTGGCGTTGCAGAGAGCTTTCCTGCAGCCTTGCTCTTGGTATAGGTCTTAACTATAGAAGACATGCGCTTGACTGAGGCCACTTTCTTGCCCGACTGAGGTGATTTTACCGAGACTTTGGATACGCTCTTCTTGAGGAGCTTTGCGCGAGCAACCTTTGGACTCGCCTTTGCTGGAGTCGCCTTGGAGCCCTTAGCTTTGACGCCAGTAGCAGTCTTGATCTTGCGCTTCTTGGCAGCGCCGGCTTCCCCATCCGCATTGTCACCTAGAAGCTCCTGTAGCTTGCGCTTGCCGGCCTTCAATCCCTTCTTGACAGCCTTTTTGAGCTCTTCTTTTGGCGCCTTGGGCGGTTTGACCTCTTTTGGTTTGGGACCCAATACACCTCGACAGTTGGGAGCTCCACAGAGACACTTCTGCACGTTCTTAGCGGAGAAGGGGTCAAAGTTGTAGTCATAAGTTAATTCTTCGCCAGTCATGATGGGTCGATCGCCGGCAAAAAGCGCCATGCGTGGCTGGCCTGACACGATCCACTTAATCATGCGCGAGTTGGGCTGGCAAGAGTGATTCACAAAGCGAGCAATGCTACCTCTTGTGGCATCAATGATCATGTTTTGGTCAAAGGACATCAGATAATAACACTGTAGCCTGTTAGCAAGGTGTCCATGACCAGGAGGGTTATCTAGTAAAAAGGTTTACGCACCTCGTTGTCCTTGTACTTTTCCTCCATGCGACGCTCGCATTCTTCTTCAGTGATGATTTCACCGGTATACTCCATGATGATCTGGCCAGGCTCGAAGCAGCGGTTGGCACGGATGCCAAAGCCACGATCCTCGGTCTTGACGACTTCGACACCGACACGGTATTTGCCACCGGCCTTGATGCGATCCTGCAATCTGGCAAAGGCACGGTTCTGACAGGTCGCCGCACCAGCGTTACAGTTGGTGTTATCGCACTCGTAAAGCATGATACGATTCTGGCAGGACTCGGCACATCCGTCTTCGGCAGTACAGACACACTTGGACTGGTAGTCCTTGAAGTGAGGAGACTTCTTCCAGAGCGGCCCAGCTTCTCCAATGAAGCGGTCTATCGAATTGGTTAGCATTGGCCACCGCGAGGCAAAGGACTCAACTTACTCCTGGTCATTAGTTTCCAAGAAGCAGGCTTGGGTTGTCCGGATGGCAGAGGGTTGCAGATATCAAAAGGTAGTTTGTAGTCGCGTCCTTGAATTAACTGTCTGAGGCCATTGAATATCGGCATCGGTAGGGCCGTGTTCACCGTTTGGCTTGGGATGAGCTCGGGCAGATCTACCAGGGCCTTCTTCTCATTAGGAGTCAGGTGTCTCGAGTAGTCGAGTGGGCCGTCCTGGCCAGAGTATAGACCATGTGTCATCCACTTCTTGATCTTGCGCTGCGGTGCAGGAATCTCGGGAACCGCGGCCAGCTCCTCTGGGATATCATCCTTTACAGGCTGGGCAGCCTTCTTCTGCTTCTTGGCCGGGGGCTCAGCGTCCGGGTTAACGAACTTGCCCTTAGCCCAAGTCGTGTAGAGGACGGGCTTTACATCGATTCCCGAGAATTCATTGGTATCTTGCAGTCTGCGCATTTCGCGCGACATCTTGCTAAGATTCTGCACGAAATTCTTCTTACCGCGCTTGCCAAGGGTGGAAAGCTTGGTGGCCAGCGTCTCGGCCTGCAAGCCAGTCGAACGCGTGGCGCGCCTAGGCTCTGGGGACAGAGCGCGCTTTTTCGAATTCTTTGCACTTTTTACCATTGGCGATGCGCTGACTTCTTTCTTGGGCGCCTTTTTGCTGGGTGCCTCCTTGGTGAGTGCCTCGACATCAGGGTGGGCGGGCGACTCGTCCTGTTCCTGCTGGGGATCGACGGGCAAAGGGCCGGAGATGGTGCGGCGCTTCTTCTCATTGACTATATCGCCATTGGCGCGTCTCTTTCCGTGCACAGCAGTACCGCTGAGCTTTGCCAAGTTGTACACGGGCAGACTATGTCTTTGTCTTCGAGGTCGCGATGATTCTGGGGTCGAAGTGTCAAGCATGGGTGGTGCATCAGTGCTGGGCGTAGCCGGCACATCGTTCTCGAGAAGCGCGGCGGTCGCTTCGACATTGAGCTCTACTTGAGGCGCCAGGATTTGGTCGGAAGTGGGGGCAGATATAGTCGCGACATGATTGTGGGTTGAGACGACAATATCGATTTGTGTAGACTCGACAGTGATTTCCTGCTTTGATGTTTCTGAAGTGATGCTCATGCCATCGCCAACGGTAGTGGGTGGTGTGGAACTCAGAGACGCGACGTGGGAAAAGGTGTCGGCCACGTCGGTGCTTGGCTCCTCCGACGACAGAGCGCGCGCCGGGGAAATAAGGAGTGCAGCCATGTTCTATTCAAAGAAATCGCGAGGCGGATGAGGCGATTGTCAAATCGCGACAGTGCACGCACGCAATGGCTGACGAGAACAATGGGCGTGGGTTTCTTGGACGAAAAATGACCAAGAGGTGGGTGAGAACCGACGCGCCGGGAGTCTGTGTTGTGGTTCCCGGAAGTAGGTTAGGTAGGTAGATGGTAGTAGATGGTAGGTGTGTTGTTGGTTTTTTTTCGGGTGTAAGTGGGTATCAAAGTGGCCAGAGAGAGGTCAAGGTACCCCGAGTAAAAGTGGTAGGGGTGGTCCAGTCTACCTGTATCCAGTACTGTACCTAGATTTCCTGCGTATCCGTTGGGAGGAGGGAAGGGGGAAAAAGGGTTGGCCGCTCACACAAACGCGCTTCTCTGCTTTGCTTGTGCTCGCTTGGCCCTGGTCTTGGCCGTGCTTTTTTAGTACAGAGTACTGTAAGGAGTAGTAGTCGGTCGTAGTAGTAGGTAGTCGGCACGGAACGTATTGGAGGGGGGCTAAAAGCCGACAGGGTATGTTGCAGGACGGGAGGGAGTGAGAGAAAGAGTGGGATGAACTCTGTGTGGTCAAGACAGTCGGCTGGCTCGCTCACTCACTCACTCGCTCTCGCTTCTGTTTGGTAGAGCTCGTGCTCGGTGTGGGACTGCTGGACTGAACGTCGAGAAACACAATATCACCATCGGTAAATACGGTGTGCTGTTTGTCGAATCGTGACTTTTTCTACTGTTCCAAAAGAGGAAAACCCTCAAGTCGAGCTGGTCAGGACAGGACAGGATAGCTTAGCTCAGCTCAGCTCAGCTCAGCTCTTCCTCGACTATCACTCTTCGAAAAATGTCTGACTCGCAAATAGAGTGGCGCGAGCGAAAGAGTAGAGAACAAGCCGAGTAGTCAAAATGCGGGCAGAGGTATGTAGGTAGGTGGCTTGTGTATGATATGGGTCGTGTATGTGAGATGGAGAGAGATGGATACAAGCAGTGAATGCACGCGTTGTTAAAATGGTCGATGCAGAGTCCGTCTGTTGTGGGATGACCGAGCGGATTTGGTGTTTGAGGCTTGGGTGGGTTGATGGTGGGTGGGCGATGGATGATGGGAATTGTGGAATTTGATGAGGGCGGAAAGTTTGAGCGCGTTGTCGTTGTGGTTCTTCCCTTATTAGGTAGTTTTAGTTGGGTTGGACTGAATTGATTGAACCGGGATTGTTGTTGCAACACACAAGTGCTTGTTCCAATTGTTCGAATAATCAGTCCAGTCTTGGCAGGCCGAAACAGCGAACAGCAAGTGAGGCTGCCGGGAACCCTGTGAGAATGGATCTGGATTGATGTCGAAGTGCAGGAGGAGAGAGAGAAAACTCCAGAGACAATGCAGAAAGAATGAACAAGTCGAGAAAAAAATAGATGAGCTGTGCAGAAGAGGAAGAAATTATTGATGTGATGGATCAAAGTGTTGAAAAGAATCAAACACTCCACAATCGCAGTCTTGATTGGCGTTTGTTCTGATGGTTGACGGATTGTCGGGGGAGAAACAGATGCAAAGACAATTGTTGTCACTTTCAAGTCATCAGTCGATTGATTGTTGGCGGGTGAGAGTGAAAAAAACACACGGGGTTGTCCCAAGTGTCCTCTTCTGGGGGGGGGGTTTGTGAGTGAGATAACCCTCGATGTGAGCAGCGAAGGGGGGGAGGGAGAGGGCGAGAGGAAAAAGGCGAGGAGAGCGTGAGATGATGGATGATGGCGAAATCAATTAATCGAAAAGTGAAAGTGGACGACCGGCGTGTCTTTAGAGCTAATCACCGTCTTGCGCTGCGCCAATCAGTTCCGAGGCTGGGGGGGATGGATGAGTAGGAGGTATTGGGGTGTTGCCTTCCTGAGAACAAGAAACCTCCTCCCATTGATTTATTTTGCCCGACATTGATAGGCCGATCCAATCGGGCTGACGACGTCTGCCTCTTTTTTTGACTTCCTCGAATATCGCCTAGGCTAGATAGGCAAGGGTCTGACCAGCAGTCTACAACTATCAAAATCGTGATCATTATGTTTTCTGCTATCAATCTCTACGTGGACCATAATGCTCTTGGGAGAGGATGACTAGCCAGGAGACAAGACGTATCCTCGAGGCATATCACATGACATTCTCAACCAGGTTGATGTTTCGGATGAGTTGATCGTGATTCAGACTCTGCAGTCTCTGGCTAGAGCAGAGTCATCTCAACGAGAACTAGATATAAACGGGATCGTGTTTTTGATATTGCAGAGATATCCTTCGAGGGGACATTAAAAAAAAAATCCCATTTTGAGCAGCCAGTGTGCATGACTGCAATGCCGCACCTGTTGTGCTTTGGGCGGCATTCGGCCATCTCGGAGTTCTGGTGATGAAATAACGGCCATGTAGTGTTTTAGGTGGAGCGTCAAGCGTGGGGAGGGACTGATACAGGCAGATGGACCACTGGATAATCCTTCTAGAGAGATATCTTGATAGTAGCCAGCTAAACTCGAGATGATTTTCAAAGAATCCAGCGGGACTGCGGACTCAAGGCGGATCTTCCCAGATATAGACAAACGGCAAGTCATGTCGGAGTGAGGGCTGGGTTGAGCATGGAGCGAGGTGAGGTGCACCTCACTTTCACGATCAGCCAAGTGGCGTATCACTCAATCCCAACTACCCGACTGCCGTCATAAACACCCCGAATTTTACTTGCAAGCATCATTGAAAGTCCAGAGATTCCACTGAAGACTAACCTGTAAGCATGTCTATGCCAATTCGTAATTCCAATAGTCTTGTAGTTGTCAGCGTGGATCTAGAATTAATAATATATTGCAATGATTTCACTCAAATACGCCGATCCCCGTCACTGTCGCATTCATAACAAACTGGCCAACTTTGCAACAGAAATATACTCCCTAGAATACCCGAAAATATTGATTCAAGGAAATTTGTGCAGTTTGATAGATTTTGGCGGCGAGTTACGGTTGCGCCTTTTGACCATGTAGGTCCGACTTCGAGGTGGGAATGCCACTCACAATGATCATGGGGAAGAAAGCGCTGGCCTCGGCCATGCCACTTCTTAAACACGAAAACCACCAATTACTCAATTCTACCAGAAAATTTGATATGTAGATATTACCTTGCATCTAATTTGCACGTTTGACGACTGTTGACCAATCCCGATGGCTAGGTCGCTTGTATTGAGTCAGACCCGTGACATATACACAAAAACGCCAGTCAAGTTTGTTGCCAATGAATAGACGCCAATAGCAAAATAAACATGAACAGTCTGATTTCAACCTGATTGAAGGCTCCCCAGTCAATCTGGATTGACTTTCTGCCACTAAATGCCTCTTGTTGCGATAATAATAGCTGTCTAATGTTGGCTTTCGGTCAATCATCCATGAGGTTTGATGGACTCCTTCACAGATTGTGCAAACGCACCAATTATCAACCAAGGAGTAATTATCAAAATATGAACATGGAGTAAATTTCAGGAGAGCGGCATGTAAAAGTTCTTGCAATCAGGCTCTGCTTGACTGGCACATGTGATGGATACCGGTACCCAAGCCTCCAGACAAATGACAGGATTGGTACAAGATATTCAAACACCATCTAGATGGAGCAGATCGATCGCGAACAAAGTGACTTTATTGCAGTGTCCAAGCCACGATGATTCTAACAGTATCAATTGTGAGTATTTATCACGAGCGCGGCGTTGAAGCCCGCCGAGTGCTCTTGCCCTGTGCATCCTTGATTGTTGCTCTAGAGCGCTCGACTTTGTCCGCTGAACTATCCAATCACCTTTTGAACGACTTTCCTGTGCACAATAATGCTTACATCGCCAGTATATGCAGTTGGAATGATTTTGGACCAGGAATCGGTTGTTTGTATCATTAGTTGAAGAGGTGAAAACCAAGTTTATTCCTTTCTCACTGACGTGATACGATGGCATCAACTGCATTGGGTGACATGAAGGACCAGTACAGCTGCGTGCATTTCAGAATCTTTAATACGATTGTTGTTCATGTTACCAAGACTTTGGACCAAGGAATTGATACTTTTTAATACTTGCTGTAGTCTTATAGAGGCATGGAAACTGCTGGCTTCCAGCCTCAAGTGTGTCCCTGCTATTGACCGATGGGGCTCCGGCCGAGCATGCCGTTCAAACTTGTTGCAATAGCATAGCGTTTGAACCCCTCCCCTCCTCCCCCTTTAGATAACGCGCTATGCCCACATCAGCCATCGACGTGCCGGCAAGTCGGAAACAAGAAGGAATTGATATTTAACTTGCGCCTACGACATGGAC